CATGACGAGAGCCGGTAGCTCATGTGTAGTATGGCCGAAGCTGAGCAATGTTCCACGGCCGGTGGGTCTCCTCCTCCGACTTATGTGAGTCTTTGTGCTCTCGAACGTCAATGAGGTAATATGACCTATTGTTTAAATTCTTGCTGACCACAAAAGGTCCTTCCCAAGGCGGGGATAGTTTGTGTGCATCCGACAGATCCTGAATGAGCCGGAGCACCATGTCACCTTCTTGAAAGGTCCTGGACTTAACCCGGCGGCTGTGATAACGACGCAGGTCCTATTGATAAATTGTTGATCGAGCCGCCGCCAAGTCTCTCTCCTCATGACCTCGTTTGACGCGTTCAGATCTACCGAGAGCCGGAAAGTCTCCGCTTGAAGCTGCTGAGCACGAGCATCCAAAGTCGCCCGCTCTGCGGCCATCCTGACCTCTTCTGCTGCTAAATTTTCCTTGGCCTGTGCCATCTCTTTGCATCGCTGTGCCACCTCCGTGCCATGCTGAACCTTATCTGCTGGCTCCACTACAGCAGTCAACAAAGCCGTCAACTTATCCATGAGGTCCATTAGAATCAGAGCCGGGGGGCGCGCGGGGTCTCCTGACCCGGCTGCTGCCGACCCGGTGGTTATTGCTGCCGCAGCCGTAGAGTTCTGCTCGGGTTGAGTGCCAGCCATGAAAACTCCGGCTCAATTTGGCGGCTCAGAGAGGTCTGGAATACTGTTGCCATCGGAACAGCCCCCAAGCATGCCATCTTGTAGCTGATACAAAGAATCTGTCTCGCCTGAGGACGACTCATCGTCGGAACAGATGGTCGTCTCACCGCCATCCACTGATCCTTCAGAGAACTCACCTCCATGGATGCAACCCATAAAGGCATGCTTTACGGCATGTTGGGCCCGGGCGGATCTCGCGCGCTGAGCCGTCTCGATGAGGTTGGTGCAGACGTCCGGCTCAGGGCCTGACTCGCCAATCCGGCCAATGAAGACATGGATTCCTCCAAAGGGGACCCAGTACCCGTACTCAATTGAGCCGGCCTCGGGGCCCCGGCCTTCGTCATCGATGTAGAGCTTGCCGCGACGACTCTTGGTCATCCGGCCCACAGCGTATCCCTTGAGCCCTTCGAAGTTGCCCTTCAAGAACTCAAATCCACCGTGCGCTGGCCCCATGGTGGGCGCCAACTGTCATGGAGTTGTCACGACAGATGTCCTAGCGAAAGGACTTAGTCATAGGGCCATCGCAACTAGGAAGCTTAAAGGGGTTAATCGGGACAAAGGACACGAGAGGTTTATACTGGTTTGGCCCCTTTCGGTGAAGGTAAGGCCTAGTCCAGTTGATGTTGTATTACCAGATTTCGATGACCAAGGAGCGAATCCGCTAGCTTGGCTATCGATCTCTTGTTTCTTGTCCTAAGCCGCCGCCAGGTTGTCCCCTTATATACATGGGTTGCCGCCTGGCATCCTACAGAGTCCCGGCCGGCTCATAAAACGTGTCCGGCTCAGTGACTTCTTTTATATGTCTTTCTTTACAAGTCTTTTTTTACATACGGCGGTTTACAATATTGGGCCTTAAGCCGCCTCTGGGCTTAGGCCATCTGCAAGTCTTAATAAACTATCACCTTGAATATTACTGGGCTTCTTTTGTAACCCGCCATTGGGGTTGACCCGGCCCCTCCTGGGCGGATCATACCTGGTAGCTATATTCCCAACCGTATTGGATACCGATGATCGAATCTCGGGCAAGTAACATACTGATGACAAAGAGAACAACGTATAGTGTTGTGCGGTTGACTGCTAAAGATCTTCGTAGAATATGTAGGAACCAATATGAGCATCCAGGTTCCGCTATTGGTTATTGACCGGAGACGTGTCTCGGTCATGTCTACATAGTTCTCGAACCCGTAGGGTCCGCATGCTTAAAGTTCTGTGATGATCGGTTCTATGAGTTTATATGTTTTGATGTACCGAAGGTAGTTCAGAGTCCCGGATGTGATCACGGACATGACGAGGAGTCTCAAAATGGTCGAGACATAAACATTGATATATTTGGAAGCCTACGTTTGGACATCGGAATAGTTCCGGGTGAAATCTGGATTTTTACCGGAGCACCGGAGGGGTTACCGGAACCCCCTGGGGACTAATGGGTCTTGTTGGGCCATAAGGGAAAGAGAGAGGGGCCGACCTAGGGAAGGCAGCGCCCCCTTCCCCCTGTCCGAATTGGACTAGGAGAAGGGGGGCGGCGCCCCCCTTTCCTTCTCTTTCTCTCCCTGCCTTTCCCCCTCCTAGTAGGAGTAGGAAAGGGAGGAATCCTACTCCTACAGTCCTACTAGGAGGAGGATTCCTCCTCCTAGGCACGCCAACAAGGGCCGGTCGGCCTCCCCCTTGCTCCTTTATATACAGGGGCAAGGGGGCACTTCTAGACACACAAGTTGATCACAAAGATCTTTCCCAGCCGTGTGCGGTGCCCCCTCCACCATAATCCACCTCGATCATACTGTAGCGGTGTTTAGGCGAAGCCCTGCTGCGGTAGCTTCATCAACATCGTCACCACGCCGTCGTGCCGACGAAACTCTTTCCCGAGCTCTACTGGATCGTGAGTTCGCGGGACGTCACCGAGCTGAACGTGTGCTGAACGCGGAGGTGTCGTACGCTCGGTACTAAGGATCGGTCGATCGTGAAGACGTACGACTACATCAACCGCGTTGTCATAACGCTTCTGCTTAACGGTCTACGAGGGTACGTGGATGACACTCTCCCTTCTCGTTGCTATGCATCACCATGATCCTGCGTGTGCGTAGGATTTTTTTTTGAAATTACTATGTTCCCCAACAGCAGCTGCACCAGTGGTTGCAGCTCTTGGCGGCGATGCTCGTAGCTTCGGTGGCGACGGCCGCAGCTCGCCGGCGTGCTTGCCGATGCTCATGCCCGTCCAGTCGCAGCTCGTCAGTCACATACCTCGCGGTTGCAACCTCTCGCTCACCCCCGTTCCAGCAAAAAATCCAGCTTTGCTTCCGGCAAAAAAATGCATCGTTGTTCGATGCAGCAAACCATGACTACAGATGTAGCTTGATCGTAGCAAAATCCAGGACCGCTTGTAGCATGTAGCATGAAACCAACGACTTCCATCCTCGCCGAATGTTGCTTGGACTACTCGTGGGTTGAAGCTTTTTTCAACTACAAATGAAGCTCCCTCCGTCCGGGTTTATTAGGTCTAAAGACAACTTCTCTTTGACCAAGACACATAGTAGTTTACTCACATTAATTCCTCCATTTCACTCCCAATGCACTCTCTCACATGCATGCAACCAATGAAAAAACATGCATGAAGTGTATTAATTTTCCGGCCATGGCACCAACAACAATGACTTTCAATGCAACCAATGAAATTGTTGCATGCATGCACCTTCCAAAGCGAGACCTTATAAAAAAGGACATGCTTGTGATGCCGAGAGGCCTAATAAACCCGGATGGAGGGAGTATCTGTGAACGTTTGCAACTTTTTCCGTGGAGCAATGCCCGATTGAAAACTTTGTACATATTTTGGTTGAAGCTTTTTTCATCTAAGGTTGAAGCTTTTTTGGTAACGGTTGCAGCTTTTTCAGTTTGAAAATATTTTTACATTGAAAAAGCTTCATCCATGTTCTCGAAAAGCTGCAACCGGTGAACGTGGTGACCGCGCCGGTTGCAGCTGATTGTAGCAAAATGAGATGCTGATTGTAGCACAAAGGCAACGTGGTTGTAGCAAAAAAAAATGCCGGTGGTAGCCAAAAAAAAAACATCTGCGTCGCCGTCCCAACCCAGTCGCATCTCTGGCATGAATGGATGTAACAAAATTTCTCGCTGGTCATAGCAAAAACTGATGAAGATTGCAGCAAAAACTCGTCTCTGCCATCGCGGATTGTAGCTCCGCCATGAATGCATGTAGCAAAAAATGGTGATGGTTCCAGCATGCCGCGACGCTGGTTCCAGCATGCGGCCGTCATGGTCGTAGCTCGCCGGTGGTGATTCTCCCACAGATGCATCTTCGCTGGGCTCCGGTTGCAGCTCCTTTTCCCACCCCCCATGTCGGAGCTTTTCAACGAGCGGTTTGTGGAGAAGAAGCTTGAAGACGACCACGCGGAGAAGAAGATAACGAAGGGCAGAGTACGATGCACCAGATAGGATGAGAGAAAGAAAAACAGCTGTGGTGGGCTTAGGGCACATGGGTGGGCCCAGGAAAGGAAAAACAAACAACGGAAAACGTGGATCAAGAGACATCCCAGCGCTAGATCCCTTTGCGATCGAGCGGCGCGCGAGCGACCGGCCGAAGCTATCGAGAGACATCCTAGCGCTAAATCCCTTCGCGATCGAGCGGCGCGCGAGCGACCGGCCGAAGCTTCAGCCGGTCCGCCGGTACGCAATGTTTCCCAAGTTTTTTTAGCAGATGACAAGCGGTTCGGAAGATACTTTATGCAGCCGACGCAACGGATTCACAACTACCAGAGGCTAATGAAATAATCACCAAGTCGCCACTCTTGTTCTCAGATGAAGCAAAGTGGGATGTGTGTCGCATGATTTTGTGGTATCATCATTATCAACTAGTCCTGAATCTGTAAATGATGAATAACATTTGATGTTAGCCGACATGGTGTGTCAAATACAGTTTCCCTGAACTTGCTACTTGCGAAATGTTAAGTACTCCCTCTGTAAAGAAATATAAAAGCGTTTAGATCACTATTTTAATGTTTTATAAAAACTCTTATCTCTTTGTGGAGGGAGTAGTTATTATGCATTCACACTCAACATTCTAAGATGTTTTTGCTTGACGAAATTCCTACTACATGTGTCAGATTTCAAGTTTTTTTCCAACCATATAATGCAGCAAAGAATATTTTACGAAACACACCCCAACACCGCTGTGAGAATATCTTATAGGATGATTTAACTTCTACAAATAGCTGCTCTGGTCTCATTTTGCCCAGATGTCTCCATTCTCTCCGGTGGGAGAGCTTCAGCAGATGGATACTTGCTCATTGTTGTGCACTGATAATGTCAAGAATCTGCATGCAATAGAGGTGATAAAGCATATAAATGAGCAAGAACATCGATTTTTCTTTTGGCTCTAAAAACGGACATAGAAGAGGAGGACCAAACTTAATGGGAGAAAGTGAAACCTTATTGGCGAACTGTTGAAAAGCTTGTCCTTCCATCAATTTCTCCAATTCCTACAGATGAATAAATTAATGGGCAGACACGAGGAAATAAATAAATGTGGCAAAAAAAGGGGGTCAGATACTTTAAGTGAGCTAGCTGCATCCATGTGCACCAATGTCAATTCAAGTGGAGAGAATTCCTTAGTTGGCCCTTTCTTAAAATTTACCTCCCTATTTGGCCCAAAATAAATTTTTCCCCCTATTTGATACCTAAAGTAAATTTTGTTCCTTATATGACACTTCCATCCATCTTAGGCACTAACGGTGTTAAGTGTGAGGTGAAAATACCATTTTACCCATAGGGCCTGCAATCTGATTGAAAATCAAAGTCATAATGGAGGATGAGAAATAGAGGTGCATACTATTCTCATGAGGAAATTTGGATTTCTCACTCACGCTCTCCTGATTTGTGGATGCTAAGTTGGATCAGATGCAATACAATAGTCATTGCATGAATGCACGTGCACTTAACAAGTAAATTACCTTTTCTGGTTCTGAAGAGCCATCAATTTGAAGTATCATTTTCTGCAGTTCAGAGTCCCTGAGAGCATCTCTGACTTCATTTAATTCAACTGGCAAGGATAAAAACAGAGTAAAAAACTAAAAATGCAACGAATATCTAACAGTTAGCTAGCTTGGAGTGATTCTGCTCAGCTGAAGTGCTTAGTATTATCATTCATATGATGTAGCATATGACAATATTTTCCATCAAGTTGGGTGTTATTCAGGACTGTATTACCATGCCATTTCAGATAGTCCTATACTTGAGTTCAAGGCCAATTCTAAAGTTCAGCTTCGTGTACTTGAGTAATAAGAACTGAAATGTTGGCACAACATTAACATACACGTTTCAAGCTACCCAAATGAGGAAGTGATCCAGTTAAAAGGCAAGCAAATTATTCAAAAAAGGATAAACCTCTAACAGGAGTTGAGGCAAATGTAAGAGAATTAGATATGCCATCGTAATATCCTTTCCCAACTAATCTACATGACGACAACAGCCTGGAGAGAGCAACAATATAAATAGGAAGTCAAATTTGGTAGTAAGGTACGCCATACCTAAGGACCTTAATCTATTCCGGTCAACAAGCCAGCTTGGATCCTCAACTTCAAGAGCTTTTGTAGGGCACACTGTGTTTGGAGATTGTGCAGGGCATGTTGTGTCCGCTGCTGCAGAGCAACAGTATAGCTTACAATCAAACAATTTATTGCCATGCATTCATAAATTTAAAATGAAGCTATATATTGCATCCATCGACATATTTAGAGAGATTATCTTAAATTCTTTTGATAGCTACAACTGGAGGTAGTGGTGAAATGGTGACTTGAAGGAATATCCTTAAGTACACAACAATAATTTATTAGTCTGAGCTTAAGCAGTTTTCACTGCAAAAAATCAAATGGAAAAAATAGTGAAATTATAAAAGACATCAGGGTGTTGTATTTTACCTAAAGAGGGAAGCTGGTCCTCATCAGGGTTTTTACTTAAAGAGGGAAGCTGATCCTTGATATTAGAATAATCTGTTCCTTTTTCCAGCAACACAGAGCTCGTCGCTGAAAACAAAAGAGTGCTCATATATAAGTCCCTCCAAATTAAATTAGACTAATGTAGTAACTTAAGCAAAACGTCTTGCAACCTAATGCATGAACTGTGATTTATTACAACTGGTTAAGCCCTTTTATTGGGAGAGTAGATGATCTGGAATATTTTTGGGTACACAGCTAGTCAACTTCTTTTTATGGAACAGATTGCATACAATGGGAGACCAAACACAGTGGTTATCAATACAACATATATCTGAAAGTACAATTGCCGCTCCCCCAATTTTTGTGATGAACTAACAGAAGTTGGTATCCACCTTCAAGGGAAACTATTGAATTGTAATCAATAGGAACGACCACATTCAATGAAGTAGATATGAGTGCTCCTTTCTTGAATAGTATATATTATGTACTTGTATGTGGGACCTTCAATCACAACATCATGATTCACGTCATTTTCCTCATGTATGTGAGTTCTATAGCTGCTTGTAACAACTGTCTGAGTCCACAATATGTTACAAAAAGCAATCATGTCTTAAGAGTTCTCTTCGAAAGGTAGAGCACTTACTAACTTCCTCCTGCAGCGACGGCTTGTTAGTTTCTTCCTGGGGCACTATCTTTTGGCAGAATTCAACTGCACACAAAGCAATATTTACTATCAAATGCTGGCTAGCAAGAAAAGTAGCGATATGCAGCGATGGATGTTCATATAGATAGCTTGATATTATATAAATAGTAGTGACAACTTGCATGTTAGTGGTGCTATGGGGGTGGGGGAGGAGGGGGCTTCTAGTCGGTGGGCAAGGCAGGAGGGTGTCACCTAGTGACTACGCGGACTACATGCCTGCTTGCGACTCATGCACATTGTGTTGTTAAACCAAAAGAAACAATACTAGTTCGAAGTATATTTCAGTAACACACCAGAGTGCACTTATTACTGGCATCTATCAGTATTAAACTTTCATGAAGTGTGTCCTCTAAGGCTCTAACACCCTACTTCCTTCAAAAGTTTAAGATAATGAACAACGAAGACAGCACTGAAGTCTGAAGTACCTTTGTGTTTTTTAAAGCATATCACAGAGCAACTGCAAGGGAGAATGAGACAATATATTAGGTCCGTCCAACAACATTCAATATAGGAGATAAGGAGGCAAAAGAAGTTAATAGCTCATGCTTTAAAAAAATGACAGTGTGCATTCAGTAAATTCGACCTTGATGTATCACTAAACAGGAAACAAGGTGTGAAGCACTCCTGTGTATTTCTCTGCTATAGTTTGTAGGGTTTATCAAAATTTTAAAATCAGCTCAAAACGAGGGCAGGCTGGATGCTGAATTACTAATGAATGGCAGATTAAGTTGCCAGACAAAATTAGATAAGAAATTGAAGAAACCATAATAAAGCATGCATGGAGGCAGATTTATTATTGCAGACTGTGAATTTGGATAAAAGGTACATGGCATGCTTCACATCCTTAAGCTATGACCTCAACTGATCAAGCATTCTTAAGTGATGCTACTGATAGGCATAAGGTACTACGGTAGTAGGATGTTCGGATATGAGATTCAGATCAGGTGATACCATAAAGAGTTATACGTCAGCAGACGAAAACCTGGTCATCTCTGTACTAAGTTATCTCTATTATGCTACGAGTGGTTTTGCCTCTGTGTGCTTTCACATTCATCTAAGGCTAAAGAAAATGAATACTTTGCGATATTTGAATTCGGAAATCACAAAGATTAGGCCATGAGTGAACAATCATATGAGAGAAGGTATGAACTATTATATAACTTTGGTGAGTAGTTGACATATGCCTCTGAAATATAATATAGCATTAGTTAACCTCTATGATATTAATAAATACACAAGGAGTTCCAACCATGCCTCAATGGGATAGTTTCCAAGTACCAACCATGCCTCGTGAATCTGTTCCATGAACCCTAGGTACTCAGTTCTTTTTTCCAAACAATAAGCTAATCCACTATTGTCAACGAGAAATTGCACTGAGAGCACATTCTGACATGCACACTGATGGTTATCAATTTCCCACTTAGCTCTTGCCTGGTGGTATGGCTAAACAGTGAATAGACCAAGAAATCCAATGAATACAGCAAAAGGAGTTCCTCATATACTGGTGTGCCACGCCCATCTTCAGCAAGAACTCGCATACGCAAAACTGTAAAGAAGATGATGATTCAACTTACTAGGGCGTGCGGCAGGTGGGGCATTTGTACTTGGACGGCGCCTCCTTGCACACATCGCAGCTCCCACCACCCATTCGCAGGACCGGAAATTCGGTTCGGTTGTCTGTCGATGCCGAATTTGTTCAGGTAGCTGATGTCGGCGTCGGGAGACCAGGAAGCTGGAAGAAGAGGCTGGAGGCGTGGTGCCCTGGTGGGTCAGATACGGG